GGGGAAGCCGTGGACAGTGTATTCCAGGTGACAGCACATTCACTTTTAGTTTTCTTGCTTGGCATCTAGGTATTCTATGTATGAGTCCAGTCTTCATGGTGCATAGATTAACTTCGCTCTCGTAATAAAGGCCAGAGTCAGGATCTTGGGTAGAGGTGAGAGAGACACAATGGACATAGCACATGTGTGCATTTCTCCAGGTAACTCTTGTTCGAGGACGGAAGGAGTAATAGACGATGCCTGGATTCTGATGCCATCATCAATGTGAACGGTGGCCGGGACAGGGAAGACTTCACAATGCACGAGGGGTGGATCCCAGGCCCTTGAAGGGGCTTTGCTTCTGAAAGGGTAGCTCTTGGCATCTCTCTTGTCACAAAAATTAAGTTAAAATGATTGATTCCTCATACAACACATTTTAGAGCAACATAAAGCCTTCACCCTTGAGGAGCCTCTTATAAATCATAAGTCTAAGATGCAGTTTGTCTGACAAGTCCATTTCTGGCCCCTATTATCCATTCTCCAAAAGGCAGCCAAAGTGAGCCTTTAAACATCTAAATCAGATCATGTCACTGCCCTGTTTTAAACCTTTCTATCACTTCCCCAACATCCCAAATCAGCCAGACCTAGAGGCTCAAAGCTCCCATCACCATTCCTTCATCTCCTACCCGCTTCTCCCAAGCTCAGAATGCGCTGGCCACTCGGTTCTGTTTATCCTTGTAACACACCAACCTTTTTTTCCAGCTCAGGACCTTCGTATTCGCTGGTTCCTCCGTCTACAATGCTCTCCTCTTCATCCTTCTCCTGTACTCAATGCTCTTCTCCTGGTTATTTGCATGTAGGGTCCTGTCAGCCTTCAAATCCAGTTTTCAGAGTCTGAAGATCCCATCTGCAGCAATTCTGTCTGCTTCCTGGTCATGCCTCTCTTTCACAGCACTTACAGGTTTTGGTTAATTGTCTGAATTCCCCTTGAAAGATAACCTGGAGGCAGGGACCAAGTCTGTCTTCTCATTACTAGATCCCCAGCATCTAGAATGAGTGTCTGTGAAATAATTGTATGAGCAAGAGCTGAAGTCCACAAATAGATTTCAGCTTATAGCATACAGCCAGAAGGAGAAAATATGATTACTATCAGGACATTTTTCTTAAGTCTTTGTTTTCATCCCAAATTTTGTCTTTATTCTATGAAATTCAAGGACCATAGTGATGACTCATCCAACAACTGATACTTAAGCTTTCTGGAAAGTTCCATTTTCACTTCTGGTCTACTTCAGCTATCTACTTCTACTTTGGTAACCTTAATTTTCAACAGTCCACCCATGATTATAAGTTGCTTGCCTTATGGTTTTCTAACTTTTATTCCACACAGAGTCTCAGAGCACAGGGAACCTCACTGGTAATGGGTTTCAGACTCAGTGAGCCAAGATGTCAAATCCATGGGCAGAAGAACTACACATGTTAGAAGCCAGGGATGCAAACTCTGGGTGTTGAGGGTATCTGAGAGCAACCTGGACATCAGAACCCAGAGTGAGTTGAACCAGCATTTTTCACTCAATGGACACAGATGTAAGGGGCAGGGAAGATGCATAACATCGAAACCAAGAGATTGTCTTCAGGCTTAGACAGGGACTGGAAAACTCACGTAGGGAGAAGAATGCTGCCTTCTCTTACTCTTGGAAACCATTGGCAGACTCCTGAAATGGGTAGGGGTAGGGAACAAAGGAGTTTGGGGTCTTTTTGGACCCAGAACTCTCTCTTATCAACTGACAATTTGGCTTTCAGCTTCACCACATCATTCAGTTTTGATTCTTTCTAATGCAGTTTTCCAATCCAATTCCCATTGGCAGTTCTCAGTCTTCATATTGGATGTCTTGATTACACCTGATGTTTTTGATCATCTGCTCCTTCTCAAAATTCTCTGTAGGTTTCCATGACACCACATTTCCTAATTCTCTTCTGACCATGTTGACTGCTTACACTGTTTCTCATGGGATCCTCACTCTCTTTCAGCTCCCATGTGGTGCTCTTCCGGTTGTGTCATGTGCCTCCTTATTTTTTAATATATATATATCCCTGATGGTGATCTCCTCCACTCTCATAGCTTCAACTAGAACCCAGATTCTCATGACTGCCAGATTCAAATCCCTTGTAAGGGTCTTTTATGCCTGAGTTTCAGAAGTGTGTATTTAACAGCCTTTTGGATATCTCTTCCTAGATTTCTCCCAGGCACCTCAAAACATTGTCCCAACTGAATTCCTAGCCTTCCCTATCCAATTTCCTTCTACTCCAGCATTCCTTATTTTAGGGAGTAGCTCTACCACCCATCTAGCCACCCAGTCAAAGATCCTAAAAGCCAAACTTGACTAGTTCTTCTCCCTTTCAACCCATATCTATCATTTCATTCATTCATTCATTCTTCATTCAAGAAACTGCATTGAGTCTTGTTACTTACCAAGTATTGCTCTACTTGCGGATCAGCCAATGGTAAATGAAGAAAGTATAATTCCTGTCTTCATGAAGCATATGAACTTCTAGCTGACCTCATCCCTACAGTGTTTCTTTCCTCCACCCCTTCTTTTTTTAATACTAGCAATAGTTGGCATGTGATAGATGCTCAATTAATCTTTATTGGCTGAATGAATACATGAGAATGTAGCTATCTGAACATCTGCTGTCTTTATGGCACATATTATGGCACAGCATACTGATGCCATTAAAAATCAACAATAACAAAAAAAAATAAAATATTTCTCAGCATACATTATGAGTCACTAGAAGCCACAACATCTGTCTAATTTAGCATTAGTGCATTTTATTTGTGTTATGCAAATAGTCAGATGGTCTTCACTTCCCACAGGACTGATATGGTGTCTGGCAGAGCACAGGCCCAGCTTGACCAATTTTGATCTATTCCAAGCACACATTATGTATCTGAATTACACATTGGGCGGGCTGACTCTAGAGTTAAGTGAAAGTGCAAACTCCAAGTGCTTATGACCATTTTAATCAACTCAGTCATTTCTGAAATGTTATTAGTGTTTCTTTGTGCTTTATGAATATCAGCATATATTTGCTGGCTTTTAAGTATGAAGACACCAAAATAAATTGAGATTGCTCATGTTAAAGATGACGCATGATGAAATGGGTTGTATCCAGTTGAATCTCAGGCATTGTAGGAAATACATGGTGTTTAAACACCAAGAATGGTAAACTTTGACTAATACCAACATCTGTTATAATAACTATTTGATGACATTAGCAGATACTTTAGGAAATCAGCAAAGCTAATTCTTATACAATTTTACCAGCTCAATCAATCATGGGATAAAACGAAGCATCTCCCCCGCCCCTTCTTGGTTCTCAAATATGAGTAGCAAGGTTAGGTACAATTGAGATTAGAACAATTAAGAATTACTCCTATTTCCACAATCACCATCAGTGGAAAGACCAAACACAAAAGGAGAACAAAAAACCCAGGCGCAAGAAATGTAGGCAGTTACTGAGATACTCAGGGTGAGGCATGCACCTTTGGCTCTCTAAATAACCAACATTCAGGCTTACGTTAATAATAGGCAGAGCAAACAGACAGGGTACTATCAGCTGGTCATGCATATACTCCTGGAAGTATAATAGATCATTATTTTTTAATAATAGCAAATTCTACCATATACACCAATTGAGGAATGGAAAAAAAACAGGCATTGAAATTCGACAAGTTATTCAGGCACAAAAATTTGGGTGAAATTAAACACTCACTAAAGAATAGTGAAGGACAGACTCTTGAAGGTATGCAGGTGAGGTTCAACCTGCAGCTTTCCCTGCTAAGATCTTGCATTGCTCCACAGCTCCTTCACAGAGAACTGGGAGGAAGTTGAAGTGAACCTGGCCTCAGAGTGACCCATTAATCTTTCAAAAGTGGAAGAAAGAGGGAAGACTTTGGGGGTATGTTAACCTTTTCCATTTTTAAATGTATTTAAACAGATTTTCTTATCTACAAGTTAATGAGAAATACTCAGTTCCATGGATTAAAATGATTAAGCCAGATATATTTCCACAAAACCCCAGATATCATTGGTTTGGTTAATTCATTGTGCTCTCAACTTTTGCTTAGTGTCAGAAACTGTAAGTTTTATGTATATTTTGTGTGTGTGTGTGTTTCCTTAAAAAAAAAGTATGAAGAAGATGCCATTTGACTTACATGAGTTCAATCCTATGTGCCTACATGGCTAAAGGGAAAACCTTTATCAGGGCTGGTGATTTTGCCTGTCCTGGGAGGAGCACATCTCTGAATCCACCCTGGTCCTCTGTAAGGACCAACCTCAGTTTTCTAATGCCCGTTGGAGTCTGAGATCTCACTGGGATTAGTCTGACTCCAGTATTAAAACAGTAATTTTGTTACTGGTGATTTATGTACTCCCTTTGTACAACTATCCCTCCAATAAGATGCAAAACCACACTATGGAAGAATAGAAGTATGTGGGCAGCTTTGAAACTACAAGCTATTCCTAAATGCTCTAACCTTTACCTTGGACATAAATTCAATATGGCTGGTGTTGAATTTATATTCCAAAATCACAGTATCCTCCTGATTCTAAATTTCATAAGACAACACAGAACTCCTGTCCAGCCAACTATCTGAAAATCAGCATACTCAAGGATCCTGACCTTCACCTTTTTTGCTAGTTTAAAAACACCAGGTTTATCTTTCACAACATGAGTAATTTCTTTTTTAGCAAAATTGTAATTCAGCTTTGCATGACATTTATTTTTAGCTAAGTTAAAGAAAAGGAGAGGATGTTGAGAACCTGCTGGTATTTTTGGCAGTTCCTGAAAATTGCATACATAGGTTAATCATGTCCTGAGGTGATATGTTTAATTATTCAAAATGATGGTGCTCAGTGGAGAAAAAGTTAAAAATGGATTGATTTTCTCTGAGGCGCCTGGGTTGGAGATGTATGGGAGCACACATTTGTGGCTACCAGAAGAAGGAAGCTAGCACTTACATTCTGTTTCCCCACGATGTTATCGAATGGCAGTTCAGGACTCCAGGATCCTTCTGTGAATGTGGCCCCACTGTTTCTCCTGTCAGAAGAGCTCACAGACTCCTTGACAATGTCTTCAGGCAAGGACAGCAGACTCTCCTCAGGCTGCTTAATTAAGTAGGTCTCTATATTATGCTTCCTCAAGAATTCGTTCCTCTCTTTACCATGACCTTCTTCCACATTATAGTCACCATTGAGGCAGTCCAGTGTAGCTTTAGAAATGTGAATTCTCCTGTGTGCACAAAGCATAGGTCATTATATATTCCTGTCCTGGCCAGTCCTGTGTTTTGTCCTGTGCAAAGCCAACATCAGGACTGCACATGATACTGTCATGGCATGTTCCCAAGAACAATATTGTTCCCATAAAAAAGTGGGAAGAATAGAAGAAAACAGAAGCATCAGCCAATAAGCAGTGTAGCACTGACTTCATCTCAATAGACACTGCAGTCTCTGATAAATACAGCCTTATGGAGCCACACTTTAGAAATTTTTTTGATTTTTCTTAATCCCAGCAACCTTTAGGAATCAGTTTTTCAATAATGTTGATTATATTGGAAAAACAAGTTCCATCAATGTTTCTAACCCAATGACAATTCTTGTTCAAATCACCATGAAATAACAGTTCTCTTAGTGTCACAGAACTTATCCTATCATTTCAATTGACATATTTGTGCCTGTGTCTTCAATCTTTGTCTATATATTTTTTTAAGAGAAAGGCAGTTATATAAAGTCCCCAGGGCTACATGGAAGGTCGTTTTGGAAAGCCACTGTCATATGCAATTTCCCTCTAATCTGCATATGGCAAGAGAACAGAGAACAAAACTATGAACACACACAAAGGCTGGCAGCTGGCTAGACTCACTCACAATGTAAGCCACTCATTCCTGCACAATCACTGCCATTATAGCTCATGATTCCAGGTTCTTTTGTTAGCAAAATAACAGATGATATCCAGGGCCTTAATGATCAGAGTTGAACTTCACAATTAAGTTTTTCCAAGAAAGAATCTTTCTGTCCTCAAAACTGTCCTACTCAATCAGATTCCTTATTATGCTATACTGAGATTTGAGTACACTATCCTGGTGCTTATCAACATGGGCTCTTTGGCCAGACTTTTTGGATTGAAACCATAGCTTGACAATTTGCAAGTTGCTTTACTTTTCTATGAGTCTGTTTTCTCACCCATAAAAATAAGAAAAATTATAGAACCCATCTCTTACGGTCATTGTGACTATCTTAGGGTTGATTTGTATAAAGCAGTTAGAGTGCATGATACATTATACACACTACAAAAGCACATTAAAAGTACATTATTAGGAATAGTCTCAAAAATACCCTTGTGTTCACATCACTTGCTTATTACATGTTTACTTAAGGCATGTAGGCACAACCTAAGTTATGAACAAGACCACTAAGGTCTCTCTGCTCTGGACTGTGTCATGTCCAAGCTCATTTTTGACACTTCTCTGCCGTAGAACCCTAAGCAATCTCCAGCTGGTCAAGAAATTGGGATTTCTTCAAATGAGAGGGGCTATTTCATGCCTACTAAACTCTGAACAAGCCATCCTCTCTGCCTAGAATGCCAAGCCCATGTCTACATGACAATTTCCTATCCCCCAATTCAGCTCAGAAGTCATGTCACTAGGCCCTAGTGTTCCCTTGGGTGAATGAACAACGTAAATGATTTAATACTTAACATGTAGTGATTCCAGAAACAATACATGCAAGGAAACAATGTTTTAGAGTGGCATTTCCAAATGCATGCTACTTTTAGTACTATCTCTACTTCTCCCTGCCATCCTTCTAGCCCATCTTGTTAAATTCCTGCTTACAGAGAGAATAATTGGCTGCAAAAGACATGTAAAGAAACAGAAACTAAAAACAGTGCTTTTCTGATTAAGGCACATTGTACGTGCTTTCCAAATAAGTATCCCTATATGTAGTCATTGATTGCAAGGGTAAGCCATTAACAAGAAAAGCATATCAAAGATGTCTCTCAAGAAATGTGATAAGTTCAAAATATCATCATGATGAATTCCATTGATACACGTGGACTCAGTAGTGTTGATCTAGAACAGAAACATTCTTTGGCCTCTCATGACGTGGGTGCCCCGTCTTCTTTTTACATCGAACCCGGAGTTAGGTGTCAGAAATCTGCCTTCTCTCAGTCAAAACAAAAACTCCTGGAAAGGTTTGGTAACTGAATTTCTTCTAAAATAATTAAGTTAAATACCAACCCATTAAGTATTTTCTCTGGATTCTGCATTTTATTATTCTGCTGTTAGTGCTCAGGGGACTAATATTTGCACATACTAAATCAATACTATGTTTTCTGCAGTGAAAGACATCTTTACTTTCACTTATTACTGATTCTTCTGCTGAGGTTCTAATGAATGTTTTGACAGAAACTAGGCTTTCAATATCCCTTTTCAACCTGGCTACTACTTCGAGCTTTGGAGGAAGGCATTTGTGGATGGGCTTCTGGTGATTACATTTCCTTCCAAGGAAATGAGTCAGTTCTCAGTCAATATTGTTACATATTGAATGTCAGGTAAATCTGACATTTTCTGTAATTTTAAATGCCAGGATATACTATTGATAGTAACAGTCATGTTAATAAATAAGATCTAACAATTGGGTTAGACCCTGCAGCTGTAACACCTACTTTGCATAACTGTTATATTGTAGCCAAAGGCATCAGGAAATGATTGGCTTCATGGATTTTCTCTTATACTTTCCATTTTTCCAACAACTCTGGGTGAGAGATAATTTTCCTCCTCATATTGCAGATGGTGAAACTGGCCTGGGGCCAATGAGCAAGTAGGTAGTTTAAAGTCATATTGGCGGTAGGTGGCAGTGTGGATTAAGACAGGACTTTACTTCCAGGGTCTTTCCAAGACCCTGCAGCTGAATCACTTGGTGCAATCACCACAATGAATATCCACTGAGCACGGGCAAAGGGCTTCACATGCTTAATCTTAGTCAACAAAAGCCCCCGAACAGTGGTCCTCAAAGTGTGGTACCAAGGCCAGTCACATTAGCATCACTTGGGAACTTCTTGAGGGGCAGTCTTGGGTTTTACCCCAGACACAACCATCACAAACCTTAGTGTAGGCCCAGCCATCTATGGTTGAACAAGCCCTCGAGGTGACTCAGATATAGGCTGAAATTTGAGAATCAGTCTCTAGGAATTCAAGGCTCAGAGAGATTCAAGAAACTGACTTAGCCCCCACAGCTGCTGTCCTTAGCAAGGAAAGGATTTTAATCCAATTTTGTATGTCTCTGGAGTGCGGACCCCCAACCACCATGCCCTTCCTTCCTTCCCTCCCCCAGGTGTTCTATGCATCCTGCTACGTTAGGGGGACAGAGTGAGGGCCTGGAGATTTACAATGAAAGGACAATCCCAAGCAAACTGAACTGACAGTTTGACAATGGAGGTGATAATGTGCAGTGAGCGCTTAATAGCTGTGTTTATTATTGCCAGGTTTAATTTATTTGAGCCTCAGTGACTTCATTAGAAAAGGAAACTAAAATTGACTATATGAGAAGCTCTAAGATCAAACAATGTTTTGTATTCAAGGTATTTAGCCAACTTTAGTGCATGTTACGTACTCCATACACATTGAAATTTACAGCTTCCTCTCTCATTGAAAGGGAAAGCCCAGTTTATACCTATGTGAATTGTTGATTGGTGGGAAAGGGAAATACCAGATTTTAAAAAGCTGAAAAATATAAACTCAAACAATCTCAGACCATCGAGGGTTCTGAGACAGGATCTGTATTGCCTCGTTGCTGCAGGTGGGACCACTGTCTGCCTACTTGGTGCGGCATGCTGTCTAGAAGACCGAGTGCTTTATGTGCCCCTTTTCCTTGAAACCAGCTTTTTGAGGTTCAGTGTTTTCAAACCAACTTTATAGTGCAGAAATAGGGAGTGAGATTCAGATATTTGCTCCAACTTTCATAACTGGTAAATGGAAAAACCATGTTTCAAACTTGTGTTCCTTAGTGTGATCGAGAACACTGGCTAAACTTGCTTCCAGACATTGGAGCAATATCTTACACACCACCCATGTTATGTCCTAAGTTTGCAAAGGGAGTCTACTGAGTAGATGGCCATTTCTCATTTGGCTATGCTTTCAAGACAGAGGCCTGGACACTTAGATGGATTAGCCAACTGGATTGTTTCAAGTCACCAGGTAGTTACTTGCAGGAAAATTCCAAGAATGTAGGGATTTAAGAGACCCAGCAGTGGCATGTCAGGCTTGCCGTAGTTTTCAGCCTGCATGGCAAACTCGTGAAGACAGATGTGTGACTGACATGTGGATATCACGCCAAAAAGTGCTTATACTCCTGGCCCTGGAGTGTCCTCGGAAGAATTATCTGCGGTGGACAGTGCCCACTGAGCAGACGAGAAGACAAACTCATGCAGGAGGAACATAAATTCCCAGTGTGTCATGTCATGCATATTACCATCTTTCCTGTTGTAGTGAGAAACTCAGGGTTTGGAGGTGTGCAATACTGGGTGAGATGCAGATACAGAGATGACAGTTAAGTTGGCACTGAAATCACATGCCAAGGGCTGTACATGCTCTATCTAACTTGCTGAAGATGACAGAGCTTACTACAGGGCAGAGTGGAAATCCTCATTTCTCTGATTCCATTTTCTGTAGTCTATTTCCCATAATATTATGTTACCTTATATTAAATATAATTAGCAAGGAAGTATGGCAGAAACCAGGGAAATGTGACACTAAATGCAGGGTTGGGGGATGGGGAAAGGAATATATTCAAGTGCTTTAATCTTACTTTTCCATGCATCCATGCATCCATGCATCCATCCATCCATCCATCCATCCATCCAGTATCTATTCTTCTTTCTTTCTATCTATCTATCTATCTATCTATCTATCTATCTATCTATCTATCTATCTACTACAGAAAGTCGGTACAGGTCCACGATTCACATATATCCAAAATCTTCTTAAGCTGAACCTTCGTTTCAAGGTTCAACAAAGCTTTCCAGGCCACTAGTAAATTTGGATATTTTATACCCACTGGCCTTGCCAGTCAAATTTAGAGAGTTAAGATAAGAATTTAAGGACGACTAAGGGCATACAGAAGGTCAGTAGGCTTAACCTTGGTTGCTCGTGAGAATTGCTTTAAGAACTATTAGATAGATTCTGCTTTATGTGAATCAGCATGAAGTTTGGATGCTAGCATTTCTTAAATCTCCTCCACTGATTCCAGTAAGAAGTCAAGTGTAAGAACCAGTGCTTTGCAGGGTTGGGACCTGAACACCTGAGTGTTGCCCCACCAGTTTTGCTGCTTATGATACATTTTACTACACTTTTGGGACCAATATTTGCAGGATAGTTTAATATTCTATCTTCTACTAACTTGCTCATGGACCTATACCTCTGACTTCTGCACAGGGGACATCTAGCCCCACAAGGTGAACAAATGACAGGGGCTAAGCAAGAAGACTTTGCTTTCGCTTACCCAGGGATTCCTCCAGATTCCAGTTTGTTTGCAATGTCCACGTCCCAAGACCAGACATCAAACTGCCACTTCCGCAAGCCCAACACGCCACACAGCACTGAGCCCGAGTGGATGCCGATCCGCATGTCAACATCATGCTTTGTCCTTGACCGCACATACCTATTGACACAGATGAAAGGGAGACACAGGTGTTCCATATTATTGATCCACCATCCAGTCACAGACTGGGGATTCCCCTGCCCCGCCTTGTTCTTGGGATTTTGCTTGGTGCCGGAAGTTGCTGCTGGTCAAGCTAAAATGTCATCAGTCAGGGGGCCTCTCACCAGGACAAAAGTCTTGGTATGAGGATATCTGCTGAAAATAGCAGGCAGACTTTATGGCCAGATTAGCATAACCAGCTAAACCACTTTGATAGGAAGGCAAGTGTAAACAGGGACTAGGGAGAGGATGTTTTGGTCAGCAGCAACAATGGAGTCCCACAGGCAACAGCCCCTACTCACTACCCCCAGCTTGTGCCAGACTATTATGCACCCTGAGTACACATCCCCTCCATACATTCCTCCATGGAGTTGCCCACCTTCCCTGAATCTGACCCCCAATAAATGTGAGACTGGCCAGGGGGAAGATGCTGCATCTCTATAGGTGTGAGCCCCTCTAGGTCTCTCTCTCACTACTTGGAGTATGAGTTGTCTTTCCTCCGTCCCTCACCACTCCCAACACTGCTGCCCTGTGAGGCGACAACAGACCACAAGGCCAAAATTGATATCCTTGGGCCCTGGAAGCTGCCCAGTCTTGCCCATTCCATAAGTTCAGCTCTTGCCCACGCAAATGCCACTTCTTCCAAGAAGCCTGCATGGATTCTCTGATAACTGGAATGTTCTTTTCTTCCTTCAAACTCCCATAGCCTTCTAGCTAAACTTTTAAGGACCTTGATCATGCTTCTTCCCAAACTTGCTCTTCCTGTGACCCTTGTCTCAGAGAATGGCAAGAGCATCTTTCTCTTCACATTAGTACATAGACCTGGGGTAGACAATACATCTTGAATCTCATTGCATGCTCCACTTCCAGCCTTAATATTTGCATTTTTATTCTGTTTTCTTCTTTCCATTCTTCCCACCAACATAGGCCACCATCATGCTTCAGCCTGTGGTCACCACCTCAGCCTGACCTCCTGCATCGCTACCACTAGCACAAATGTGACCTTGTCACCCTCTTATTCCCCTTTTAGATTCTTTCCTCCTAAGAGCAGTGGTCTCTGAAGTAAGGAGTTACCATCCCAGGCTGAGCTGAGTTTTGTTTTAACTTCCATCCATAGCTTTTATTTGTTACCTTGAAAAATTTTTACCAAAATTTGATATGTGAGTTGACCTTAGTGACCTTATAGGGTCCAGTGGGTGCACCCTCTGAATGTGAGCAGGGAGGAAGCCTCTTGAGAGATGAGGAGGACTCTCCCATTGGAGGGTTTCCCCAGGGCACACACATCCCTTCTTTACTTCTAGAGTATTTCAAACAATTTTAATTTATGAACTAAATGATGCCATTCATATAGAAAGAAATTCAAATGGTGGAATACTTTGAAATAGCATAACTAGAAAAATCTTTGCTGCCACATAGATGTTCAGTGGTTACATCCTTTAAAATGTCTAAAGGAGTTAACAAATCTAAAGATGATTAATCTATTTTTCTTTGACAAAAAAGGTAAGTATTCCAAATTCTCTGATTTTCTGTGGTAACAGGTCGCTGTTAATATTCCCTCTGGCAAAAACAAACTTGCTTAATTAATTTATCCAAGCTGAAATGGATGGTGTAAGGAGTGAGAAAATAACTGCTTTTCATGAGAAATTCATGCCCTGAAGAGAGAAATCTGAAAATGAGGCTTTGGAAATGTTTCCATCTCTTCAGGGAAATGGTTGTCAAACAAGTTGTATCATCTATCAAAATTCTCAGAGCCACACATTTGTGAATCTGTTTTAAAATCTTTCAAGGGAAGAACTTGGGTGGGGTTTGAAACAATTTGTTAAAAATATAAAAAAGTGGTTGCCCTCCAATGAGGGCTTGTAAGAATAATCAGAGAAGAAAATCTTGACCGGACTATACAGAACTTACGCAAAATTTAGAAGACACGGTAGAAAGCAAATGTGCTCCCAGGATCTGCCTCTCTTTATAAGTAGAGATTTAGTTTTGATAGTTAGTACAACCATGTAGCAAAAGAAATGAACCTGAAACCTGAAGTTCACATTGCTGTACTAAACTACAAAGATTTGAAAGAAAGACTCTATTATATTCAAACCCACTGCTCTTGCTAAGATAAGATGATAACAGAAAGATTTTTTTTTACTGTAATTAAATTAAAATTTTTAAACTTTATTTCATTCACTGCTAATCTTTAAAATCCACATGCCATATATATATATATATATATATATATATATATATATATATACTGTATAGTACAGGCTTACAAATATGTGAATATAATTAATAAAATAGACAAATTAAATGCATAGTGAATCTTTGATAAAAATGAAGCATAGAAATATTCAGAACCCACAATTATGACTATCATTTCTCATGCACACATTCGACTCCAGCCAATAAAACCACAAGGCATTGTCTGAACCCTGTGCTCCTCCTCTGTGTGGAATGTCTATTCCTTCCCTCAGTTAAGATCGCCTACTCATTTTTAAGGGTGAAGTTTGGGTATAATGCATGCTGGGAAGCTCTCCCAGTCTAGGTTACATGTCTTTCTTGGTGTTCCTTTAGCATATGGAGAAAAAACTGAGTGCTGTATTCTCATCATCAGTCTCCCCTAATGGATTCTAAACTCATGGAGGTGAGGGATTTTGCATAGCTCACTGTCAGATGCCCATCTTAACACTATATTGAGTCTGAAACTTGGTCAATGATCAACAAATGTTTATTGAATCGATGATCATTGGATAAATGGGTGTCCATTCTCACCATTCATGTTTCTACAAAGCTAAGCCCTTAATGAAGAATTTTAAAGAGTAATAATAAATAATTCATATCTTTCACAGACTGCAGCATCCATGCCTCACCTGCAGTAAGACTTAAAAATATGACCCTCCTTTTTCTGAATAAATAAATGAATGAGTGATTCCATGTACAAGTCATTAAAACAAAATCAAGTTGTAGTGGGTTGAGAATATAAAAACATTGAAATAAAATATTAGGAAAACTGTTATGGATATTGGAACAATTGCTTGTAGGAAAGTATGGGACAATTTTTGTTTCTAATGAAGATTCTAGTTTCCAAGCACTTGTTTTAATTTTCACTTTTAATTTAAAGACTATATAGTACCCTTTACCCACTGGTCAGGAAAACAACTGAGGTCATTTGAACAAATTCAATAGGACAAGAGGAAGTTGTTCTAAATTCATTTCATGAACAAGTTACTTAACTTCGCTATGCCTCAATTTCTTCACTGATGAAGTGGGAATAATAATAATGTCAGAATTAAATCAATCAACAAATGTAGAGAGTTGAGATTAGTGTTCAGCAAATACTAAATAATACGTGGTTGTTGATGATACATGAAGGAACTGAAGTCCAGGAACATAAGAGGATTTTCTGGTGGCCACAACTAGTAGGCAGGATTCTTAGACTAAACCTCACACTCCTTTTGCAACATAACTTTGGAGCCTGGTTTGTGATCCTGGGCAAATTGCTTAATCTGACCCTGAGTGTTGATGGTTTTACAATAAAGCTCGAGCTGATTGCTACACTTACAGAGCCATCCTGAGCCCCAAAGGAGATAATGGATGTTCAAGTGCTTTGCCAATTAATTGTGAGGGACGATTAAACAGCACAACATGCTAATGCCATTAGGTTGTTAACATTACACAGGGAATGCACTGGAACATCTTAATGAAAAGACATTTAGATTTTTAATTTTTTTCCCCACAGAACAAAAATCATAGTAAGAAGACAAAAACATATACTGCATTTTTTCTTTTTGTTATGTCCAAGATTTGACTTAAATAGAAGATGGTAATAAAGCGATGTAAAATAATGATTCATTGACAGGCATTGACCCTCTTTAGAAAGGCTACTCAGTGGTTGCACAGACCCACACACACACACCGGGTGTTTCAAGATGGGGTCTTAAATGAAAGACCTTTGATCATTCTTGAAGCTAAAATGGAGGGAATTCTGCTCAGAGCTACAAGACCTGCCCAATTCTGGCAAAGCAAGGACTAGGGATGCTTTCTTGAGCCTCCTCAGTTGCAAATAAAGAGAAGTGACTACAGAGCACACCCACTATAAGCAGCTGCACTTTCTCTTTCTTCTCCTTAATCTCCGACCTCCTGGAGGGCAGGGGATTACCGCTCATCCCACATGCCCAGCACACAGCACAGTGCTGAGCTCGGTGCTCAAAGTACTTAGAAATTAATGGACAAAGCTGAGAAACTCCGTTCTTTATAATCCTGTGCCATCCTAAGATGCACCCAAAAGTCTCAGGGGAACCATAGGGGCCTTTGGACCTACCAGCTGGGGAGGTAGGATGATACATGATGTCTTTCCCCTGAAAACAGAACAGCTCTTCTCTCATTTGTTTCTCATGGTGGCTTCCATTTAAGATTTCTTTCTTAATAAAGAGTCCTCTTAATTATCATTATTTTTTTGTAGCTCTATATCAAGCTGGGAGCCAGTAATCTAATAATTAACCAGCAAAAGAGTAAAGATGTTATTTCTTTTAATTGAACTACTAAAGAGGAATGCTACAGTTAGATGGCTAAAAGATGTTAGCATTTTTCTTTCAGTTTTAAAGCTTCAAGTCATTCTTTTTTTATATAAAAAAAACCCCAATGAATCATCTACAGATGTGGCTGGAGGAATGTCAGAGCATAATATAGTAGCTGTCGTTGATCTGTAGACTGGCCTTTCTTCACCGCCAAACAAATCAATGAATAGCAGTTTGATACTGTGGGGTGAATAACATCCACTCCCTCAGTTTTGGGGTCACAGACTGGAGTCCCAGTGCTGCATCTACCACTTACAGGCTGTGGAACAAATGATCTATGCATTGCCCATTCCCCCTATGCCCCGCTGTAATATCTGCTTCTCAGTGCAAACTTCTCTCAACACCTCCAAGGGGTATGGAGTTTGCATTAAAGAAGACCTGAGATGAAGTCAG